ATAATAATAACATAATAAACTGTAATATATAAAACCAAAAGTATAAAATAATAAAGTAACATAAAAATAATAAAATAATATATATTTTTTAATATAAATATATAAAATAAAACAAAATTAATAAAATATAAAAAAAATGATTGGTTCAATTTCCAAGCAATCAACACCCCCTACTAAAGGGTGCCATTAGCACTCCCCTTATATATATATATATATATATATATATATATAGAGAGAGAGAGAGAGAGAGAGAGAGAGAGCCAAGATCAAATGCAAACCAACCATTTCACGTTAACCTTATTAACCGATCTTGGCCATCCAAATATATGATCAATGGTTGTAAATTAATCAATTTAAAATTTTAATTTTTCAAATTTGAATTTTAATAAAGCATTGTGAACATATATGAAAGGGGCATTTTGGGTAATAACCTTCACTGCATAAACGTGAGAGATATCATATCATCGGTTACAGACAAAAGATTACCAAAACAACAACGCTCATCACATTTGAATACGGGGGCGGAAAATCTGGTTCATCATCGTCGCAAGAAGATGGCTGATTTAGGAGGATTTCACGTTAATCAGCATCGAATCAGAGGTATGTTTCAAAAAATTAGGGTTTTTAGCGTACTTTGATTAGTAGTGTAATACGATTACAGCATATATGTTTACTTTAGTGAGGAAAAAAAGTGAAAGAATAATGAAGAAAACATACTTCTCCAACTTCAAGAACACCATAGACAACCCAGTTGATGTCGATGAAGATTCTGAAGTAGGACGAACAAATGAGGTACAGATTAATGAAGGATGCTCCAGTAAGGGAAAATGCTTGGAAATCCAGCAATCCACAGGTAAACTCCATTTATTTTACAATGCATGAACCGTTTCATTCTTGGTTGGTTATTTAATCAACAACGAATGTTGTTGGTTAATCGCTTTTCTATATTTTTCAAGTTTGTTGACTACTGATATTGAGTTTTTAGGGTGTTTTTCTTACAATTTTTTACATATAGTGTCTAAGTAACATATTTGGGATGGAAATGCACAAACATGCATACCCGGTTTGTTTTTGTATACTTTAATGTTGGTCTTTACATTTGTTAGTGAACACGACATGTCAGCAGATTGTTAGTGAGTTATCAATAGGTGTATGTGCACAGTGTGTGTGTGTGTGTATGTGTATATATGCACACAGAAACAGGGCAATGTATCCACACAGAAACAGTCGCATGTGAACCATATGAAATGATTCATAGAAATGATTGTCACTGAAGGAAATTTGTGTTTGTAGCATCTCAGCAGTAGTCAACCTACCATAAGGTGCTTGTTATTGTTTATTTTAAAAGCATATAGTTAAATAGTTATTACATCATCCTGTTCGATGGATAGAAACACCAAAACAGATCATTTTTCACCAGTGTGCTTGCAGTGCTGCTCTTAAATGTTTCCATATAAGGTTTTGATGTTTGAACTGTGCCTTGCTGCAAGTAAACTGTTTGTTCACCGTTCGTTCATGGGTTTTCATATGATGTTCACAATTGGTTCATTATATGTTCATGTATGCACACAAAAACAGTCACATGTATGCACACAGAAACAGTAGGCAATCAGACTATTC